AACAAGCTTAAAAATATGCACCTGCCTGCAGACACTTAAGAAGTGTGATTGTGTGAAAGTAGCTACATTTCAGGAGGTATTCACATCATTGCCTGAGTTGTGCCCCTATCACATCAATAGCTTTGGGGGCTAATTTAGAGCTTCCAGTTTCTTCAGTCCTCTCACATTGCATAATCAAATCAATGATTCATCAGAGAGATAAGGTACTTGACTGGCTCATTTTTTGGTTTGTTATTTTTCTTCACATAAATGGTGTGATTTAGATGAATGTAACTGTCATTGCCTTATAATATAGGCAGAATGAGGTAACCTTGGACATACCATGCTCCTTTCTACTTTAAATGTATTAATCCTCTAAAACTTCATGCTCTATAGACAAATAATATTAAGAAGTACTGCCCATTTTAAAAATCCTGATATGTAAATTTTCTCTTTTGAAAATGCTAACAGAAAATACTTTCTCATGTTAAAAATAGAGTCATATGCACAAAGCAAACCTATTTCTTTTACATATATATTTAAGTCAACTGGCATGAATTATATGTAATTGGTGAGGAAATTATCTAAACCACTATTTGGCATGCATATGCCAAACTTGCCCTTAATTTAGATTCAATTACTCATAGCTGATACACGCATACTTTAATGAAGGCACAGCAGTCCCTCAACACACTCTAGTAGATTATGCAATTAAGCAATATTCACCCAGCATTTAACTATACCTTCACTGTGAATGAAATTCATTTTCTTTCATAAAATGTAGGAAAGACATAAACAGAAGCAAATCAGCAGTCCCTTTGCATTGGGAATCCCTGCTTTTGTTTAATAATGTCCAGTTAATAATTACTTTACTTTTAAATTTCTCTCCTGTTTGCCTATCCAAATTTTCCTTCTGCCTGCCTTGACATCTCCTGTGCTCAACCTATCTATTTAGTCATTGCCCCCTCTAGTTTCATCACCAAGTTATATAGCAATGTCTCTTTATCCTTGGTGAATGGATCCATCAGGGATGGTTAGAAATACGTGTTTATGTACTGAAATGCTCATTAGTATACTGACAATTATTATGGTCTTTCAAAACTCTTTACCACCCACAACTCTTGCAGCAGAATACAGAAATGGGATGCCCATTTCCAAAACCAGTGTTGAAAGATGAATAAATAGTTATGGTGTAGTAGGAGATGGGAATGAGAGTGATTCTAATATTTTCAAGAGCCCTTTTTGTGTGTGAGAAAGTCCTCCATTAACAACTCTTGTGTGTGTGTGTGTGTGTGTGTGTGTGTGTGTGCACGCGCATTAGCAGCAGTATCGCCTTCATTGTACCAGCAAAAGCAAACAGACTTGGCCTCAGGCAAGTCTTATTTTAATTCCTTCTACAATCCATTTCTGACAGCTTTGATCTAGCCCAAAGGAACATTCTACAAAACCCTTTACTCCTATCCTTCAAGATTAACTAATTCCCAAAATGACTCCCTTAAACTTATTTCAACCCATCCATTGAAAGACTCTTCTAAAATCCAGAAAACAAATTAAAGAGCAAGAGATTTCAAAGAACAGAAAGAGATGAATAAGGACAAGATAAATAAATGAAATATTTGTGGGTTAATACTGTTTGCCTAGGACTAGACAGAGTTCTGCTGAAATACAACACAAACCTATCCCACAGAGGAAGCTCGGGTAGGTGTGCAGGAAAACATAAAAAGGAGGTCAGAGGACGAGCAACTGGATGTGGACTCAGATCTGACCATCTGACCAAGATTTTTTCCTTATGGAAATAAGAGACATCTCTAAAGGATACAAATTCTTTTCAAAAAATATTATATCTACTTTTACATCTTCCAACTATTCTAGTGTTAGTTTTAAGTAAATTCATTCTTAAAGAAAAAAATAAAAACTAGATAGATCCCTCTTTGAACCTACTACAAAATCCTATGATATTCATTAAAATATCAAATTATTAGCTCATAACATTCTGGAAAGCACACTTTTGTGTGCCAACCACATTGGTATTTCATGAGTCTTATGCTGGGAAAATGGAGAAACTGAGTGTCTACAAAAAAAAAAAATTGTGGCTGGTTCCATTGCTCCTGGTTCTCTGCTTATTCTGCCTTCCCATGTCCAGATGCCTCTATTTCAGTGATGGCGACCCTATGACACCTCTGACACGCGAACTCATTTTTTTGGTTGATTTTTTCTTTGTTAAATGGCATTTAAATATATAAAATAAATATCAGAAATATAAGTCTTTGTTTTACTATGGTTGGAAATATCAAAAAATTTCTACATGTGACACGGCACCAGCGTTAAGTTAGGGTTTTTCAAAATGCTGGCACGTCAAGCTCAAAAGGTTCACCATCATTGTTAGACAAAATACCGAACC